TCGGTATTTGTTTCTAAGGGATTGATGACACAAGCGCTGTGACAAAAATACAATGTTCAATATTACTGTACAATCTCATGGTGCTTGATATATTCCATTATGTGCATTCACATTACTTTCCATTCTTTAAGACAACATTACTTTTTGATATCACCATTTTATTCAGAAATGTTACTTATCCTTCTGAATTACTACTTGAAACCAGTTATACTAAACAAGTCATAATATGTGTTGTCCTGTTTGGTACTTAACAGAAATTAAAAGAACGGATAAAGCCCTATTTTTTGGGTCGTATGAAAGGTAAAGTGTCCCTTGATATTGGCTAGACAAATGGGAAAACACTTGCTAAGAAGAATGAGCTAATTATCTGGCTGAAATTAACAGATTGCCAGGTACAAAATTTGTATCATTGATGCAAAAACAGGTTGAGTGATTTAGTGCATATGACAATGCTTCAATTTATCTCTCTTTTCTGTGCAGAGGCAACTATATGAAGCTTTTCTGAAGAGTGATATACTTAACACAATGCGACCTCCCTTGCCTCACATCACGGTAATCATCAGCTTCATAACCATTCCTTTCCACCAATCTTTACTGTCCAGAAATGTACCCATATTCGTATGAAAATACACCTTTCTACTGATTGTTTTCTCTACCAAAATACACCTAGAAATTAAACGGGATATTATATATTTATATGATAGGATGCATTTGTGGTTGTATAGCCTTACTTTATCATTGTTTTATGTGCCTGTTCCTTTGTGAGATCCTGCTTGTTTCATGTTTCTTCCGGTTCTTCAACAGATATTGAAGAAAATATGTGATCACCCACTGATACTGACAAAGATAGCCGCTGAGGGCACCTTGGAAGGCATAGAAGACATGGACGGAAAGTTAAATGGTCATGATATGGTTAGGCTTGAAAAAATGGCCCTGAACCTAGCTGGTATGTCCTATGATGATGATGATGATGATGCACTGCAAGTCGGGCAGGAAGTCTCATGCAAATTATCTTTCATGTCCTTGTTGGTAAGAATTCTGTGATGCATGCCCATATTAGTTCTCTGCAATGTAATGCATATTCATTTATCTAAATTAAGTAAATGTGGCTACTGTCTGATGTTGCAGCGAAATCTTCTTGAAGAGGGACACCATGTTCTAATTTTTTCTCAGACTTGCAAAATGCTAAACCATGTTCAGGTTTGTTCTTGTGAATATGCCAGTTCTCATGTTTGCCTAGAGTTCATGTTGTGCTGTGATATGTGATAAACTGATAATAGAAAGCACTTTTGTTTTCTAATACTTCCTCCGTTCGGATCTATCTAGACATATTTTAGTGCTAGATACATCCATTTGAGTGACAAGTAATTCCAGACAGAGGGAGTATACATGATAAACAATGCTAATTTGAGTAAATAGTAGATTTCTCTTTGTGAATTATTTATAACTAAAATTACAATTGGTCCTCTCCCTCCCGAGGCGCTCCCGCGAGCGCCGTCGGGAGGCAACCCTCGCGCGCCCCCCTCCGGCCCTCCACCCCGTCTCCCCCTCCCTCGCCGTCGCCGGGGGCGCCGCCGGCCAAAGGCCGCGTGGCCGAGGCGGCGGCGGGGCAGTTTCTTCCTGCGCGCGGATGGATGGCGTCGCGGGCCGCCTCCCTCCTGCCCGCGGCGTCGGGTCCTGGCCGGCTCTTGCTCTGGCGCCCCGCCCCGCGCCCTTGTGGCCCGTCGGCGACTCCTCCTCCCCTCCCCACCTGCGGCCCGTGGGATCTGGTGGGCACGGTCGTGCTGGCGGAGGATCTGGGCATCCCGGCCCAAATCCGGTGGATGTGCGGGTCATCGATGGCGGGGGTGGCCGGCGACCCCGTGGAGGTGGTGGTGTGGCGGCCGGTGTCCGTGCTGCTCCGGTGCTGGGTGGCTGGGCGTCGGGTGGTGCTGACCAGGGCGTGGAGGCGCAGGTGATGTGGTGCTGGCAGGTTGACTGCGGCGGCGGCCAGACTGTTCTGGCGTCGGCTCGTTTGTAGGCTGCCTATATCGGCCGTTGACTCCTTTCCTCGGCGTCCATTCGCTTCTCTCGCCGGAGAGCTAGCCTTCTCCCGGTTGCGGTCCATCGACCGTCTCGCACCCGGTGCCGTTGGACCGAGCTGGTCTCGCGCCCGGCAGCAGGACCGGCCCGTCTCGCGCCTGGCAGCAGGACTGCGCTCGTCTCGCGCCTGGCAGCAGGACCGGCCCGTCTCGCGCCCAGCGGTAAGACTGCGCTCGTCTCACGCCCGGTGTAGCAGGACGGCTCGATGGAGGCTTGGTGGCCGGCCTATTCGGTCTCGGCGCTGGGACCGGCCATGGGTGCGAAAGGCGGATCCTTTCCGCTCGTTTCTGCGGTTGGGGTAGCGGTGGGGCTCGAGGGTCTTGGTGTCATGGTCTTGGTGTCCGGGGCGGCGGCCCTTGTGGTGGTGGCGCGGTGCTCATGGGCAGAGCTCGTGCCTCGGTGCTGCCCGGCTGCCATGGCCGTGTGGGCGGCGTGGTAGCCGGGCTGTGGCGTTCGGTGGCGGTGAGTATCGCGGTGTTCACGGCTGAAGCCCTCGGCGGCTCTTGTAGTGCTAGGGAGTGTGTTGCTGCGCTCAGCGCCTATGTATCCTACCTTGGGTGTGTGTTTGCGTTTGTGGTGGGTGAGTGCGGTTGTATCGGACACTGTTGTCTATGCTTTATATATAAAGCGGGGCGAAAGCCTTTTTCGGTAATTACAATTGGTTGGGAGCAAAATGGTAGGATAACATGATCAACTACATTTGCCATCTGATCTGCTGTCATATATCTGTTAGAAAAAAAAAGCATGTCAAGTGCATAATAAAACATAAACAAAATGTGGCTAATGTCATCTTCGTATCATTTGCACGAAAACCGTTGTGCTCTTCGATTCAAATTACATTTTGGGTGAGTGCCTATAATCATTTCTGAAATGATGATGCTTACCTACATCCTGTGTTGTAACATTCGGTTATTGCAACAGCAAGTTATATCAGTAGAGGGCTACAAGTTTTTTCGCATCTATGGTACCACCAAGATCTCAGAGAGGGAAAGGATTGTGAAGGTTATTATTCCTATTTAACCTTTTTTTTATGATGTGTTAATGGACTCAATTATACGTATATAATATGTTTCTTCAATTTCTGCAATTGCATCTCCAGGATTTCCAGGAGGGTTCTGGAACTCCAATATTTTTACTGACTACCAAAGTCGGTGGTCTTGGACTTACACTCACCAAGGCAGATCGCGTCATAGTAGTCGACCCTGCTTGGAATCCAAGGTATAATGACCCTGACTCATTCTGATCGAGCACATTAATTTCTTTTTGTTTTATAGGATGCATGTTCTCTTACTTCTAACACAATCTGCGTATTCACAGTGTCGACAGTCAGGCTGGCGATCGTGCTTATCGAATTGGACAGACAAAAGATGTGATTGTATACCGCTTGATGACAGCTGGAACTGTTGAAGAACAGATATATAGAATGCAGGTTTGAATATGATCTAGAATTCTTTTACTCAACTATTGTTTTTCATATGATATCTGAACTTCTGAAGCTTGAATTCCTTGAGTCACATAATTATTTTTTCCAGGTCTTCAAATGGGGTTTGTTTAGGACAGCCACTGAGCAGAAAGAACAAACACGCTACTTCAACCAGAGGGTAACATTGTGATCCTGATTGCACCGCTATTCATCGGTCATGGATTAAGGATATAAACAGTGACTGGTAAGGTTACTTGTGTATGTATCTTCAGGACATTCAGGAGCTTCTTAGCCTACCGGCACAAGGTTTTGACATCTCCCCTACGCAAAAGCAATTGCAAAAAGAGCATGAACATCAGCTTGACATGTAAGACAGTTGATTTCATCTGACTAAATACGATGCTATCAACTATGGCTTTACTGAAATTATTTTTGACATACACATCAAAATCTTGAGGTTTAGAGTTTGGTGCTTCCTCCGATTCATATTACTTGTCTTTGATTTGTCTAGATATATCTAGACAAATCAAAGAAAAGTAATATGGATCGGAGGCAGTAGACATTTTGACAGATATGGGGTACCAAAAAAAAATCTAACATCTAGTTTCAGCTGAATTTGTTAGCTGGTCAGGGAGCTGTTTGACATGATCCCTGATATATAGCAACAGTTAACTGACAATTCCATGTTGTTAATTTGGCTTCACTAGTCATTTATTATGTTTCCCTGTACTGTAACTTCCGTCTAGGGATGAGTCACTGAGGCAGCACATAGAGATTCTAGAGCAGCAAGGAATAGCCGGTGTGAGCCACCACAGCCTCCTGTATTCCAAGACAGAGGTCTTGCCAGCTTTGAGCGAAAATGATCATGCACCGGACAGGTCAGTGTTGCTGCCTTGAGCACGGAGCATGCATGTATCTTTCTTGTCAACCTTTCTTTGTAGCTAACACCGATGTAATGAAGAAATGAGCATGCCGTTAAGCCAAATTCAGATGTCCCTGCCGAAGATATCAACCGGCTGACGCAAACCCTTGCAAACACGGTAAGTTAGACGATCAATCTCTTACTATTTTGCAACTCAATGAGCGCTGCACTTTTGCCTATCGTCAACGGTAACGGTGTACTGTGGCAGGCACTGGCGACCAAACAAAGTATAAGAGAACGTCACAGCCTTATTACAGAACTTATCTATCGAGAATGTTCTAAATTACATCACACAACTTTTTAAGTATTCTACTTGTATCACAAAAAGGTAACCACATGACGAATTATTCAGCCCTCCGGAAAGGTCAATTGGTGATACGTATATTTCTTGTGTATATAGCCAACTTAAGCATTGCAAAATCGCTGAACTTGTCCACGGCAGAAAACCATGACCATCGCCAGCTTGTCTTGAAGTAAAGCACACCCAAGGAAGTCCAGAAACCAACCATGTAAAACATTGCTGAACAGCCAAACAGGATTATATCATCAACTTTATCATCTTCCTTATTTTCTTCAAGCTCGGGAACTGACGGCGCCACAGAGATATGGATTTCCTTCGTAGCTGCTCTGATCAAATGTGATGAACTGCCCCTTTATTCCTGGCGTCGGACCAGACAGGTTGTTGTATGCCACTGAGAACACCGCAAGGGACGGTAATGCTGCTAGCTCTGAAGGTATTTGGCCTGCCAACTTGTTGTGCGAGAGATCCAAGCTCTCCAGATAACTTAAATTTGACAAGGACTGTGGTATTGATCCATCAAAGTTATTTTCCGAGAAATTCAATGCCCTTAACCATTTCATGCCACCTATATTTTCATGAATGGATCCTTTCAACTGGTTCGAAGAGAAATCAAGTCCAGTCATGTAGTTGAGTATGTTTCCCCTGTAATTGTCCTGCCTGCCCTTGGTCATGAATTCCTCTTGATCTGGCAGCCCAATAACATTGAATAAAACAGGAAAAGTTCCAAAACCAGGTTGGAAATCAAATAAACTGTCATCGGATCCCATAATGTTCATGCATAAAGGTAACTCCCCCGATAGTCTATTATGAGACAAATCTAGTAGACGCAGATACTTCAAACTGCATATATCATTTGGAACTGTCCCTTCGAACATATTATCTTTTAATAACAGTACTTTTAGCTTTGGAAAGGACTTCCCTATCAGCTTTGGAAGGACACCACTGAATTGGTTTTCTTGGAGATCCATTGTATAGATATTATTTCTCGAGTACAATGGAATAGGAAAGGTTCCATTTAATCGGTTTCTACTCATATGAAGGTAGCATAGATCCGGTAAGCAATGCACTGGACCAGAAAGGTTATTTTCCGACACATCAAGAAACACAAGCTTTCGCAGGCCGCATACTTCCGACGGAATCGATCCAGCCAATGAGTTCCCTCTTAAATTCAAAATGGCAAGTTCTGAGAGTGCGGATATGCAAGTAGGGAGCGGGCCGGTCAACTTGTTATTGCTAGCATCAAATGTCATAAGTATCAGACTGTCACATAACTTCTCAGGAATTTTCCCAGCGATTTCATTATCACTGAGCAATAGATGTTTAACGGCAGGTAATAGTATGTTTGGAGAGAACGACCCATAGAAATGGTTTCCAGACAGTTTTAGACCAATGATATTTGACATATTTCCAACAAAAGCAGCCGCAATGTCATCTAAGAAATTGTTGTATGACAAGTCTAAATACTGTAGACTATTCATGTAGCTAAAGGAAGAAGGAAAGTTGCCCATATAAGAATTCCCTGATAAGGATATGTAACTCAGATTTGGTAATGTGATGTTAATGTCAACAGGTAATATGCTTAGCCTGTTAGAAGATGCATCCAACCATTGCAAACTGGTGTGTACTTTGGATGGAAGAAGAGGACCTGCAAAGGAGTTACTACCCAGAACTAAGTGTGATAGGTTGACATTATTTTCTATCAACCATGAAGGGAAGTTACCACTTAGGTTGTTGTTAGACATATCGACCGACTCTAGTTTATGTTGATGCAACAAGAAACTTGGTACGATGCCTAAATTGCCATTAAGGTTGCAATTTCGCAGCACTAGAACCTGAATCTGAGCTGGCAAATCTGTTGCTGGATTCTCAGTTTGCACATGGAAGTTGTTACCGCTGCTTGCAAGTTCCAGTTTAGTCAATTGTCTATGATTTTGTAAGGAACTCAGCGACAGAACTCCTTCAAGAGAGTTATTTACGAGTGAAAGTTTCTCCAACGATGTGAGTTTTGCAAAGATAAGAGAGGGGAACTTTACTATTAATCTATTATTTTCTGACAGACCGAGAATTCTGAGAGAAGTCAGATTTTGCATGCATGATGGGATCTCTCCAAATAAAAGATTGTCACTGAGATATAACACTTGAAGATCTCTCATGTTGCAAATATCTGTAAAGGAAACAGTTAGTAATTAGTCTTTAATGCACCGTGCTACCATATCCCGGCATTGTACACACACGATGCATCATTTACCTGTTGGTATGGTGCCTTGGATATCATTATTGCCTATATCAAGAGTATCCAACTTCATTATGCTGAGTTCTGTACAATAAATAGCATGGTAAACCATGAGAAAATATTTGGAAGATGACGTTGGCAGAAATAGATCACTGCAAAAAAAGTTTAAATAGTCCTCAGCATAACTAAAAGCTCACGTTGTATTGTCAGATTGGAGCTGAAGTCATTCCCGTTGAGGAATAGGGACCGTAGCGATACAATTGCGACCAAGGATGGGATGGCACTCTCCATTAATTTATCATTATATGATAAATCAAGAATTTTTAGTTTTTCTAATTTTGACCATACTTCAAAGCCTACGAGGAATAAATAAACAAATCAGCCTATGAGGTAAAATGAACAATAACGCAAGGAGTCCAAGCAAAAGAAAAAATGCACTTATGACCGTATCTCCCTTAGGGTCCGACATGAATTATGAACCAAACCTTCCATATAAGACCTAAAATTATTTTGAGAACGATGAACCATAAAACCTTCCATATAGGACCCTAAATTATTTTGAGAATGATCAACTAGAATAACAATCATATAGAACCCTAATTTATGAGTATTGTTTATATTTGTTGAATTATAGTTGGGCATTGGGCCCATAAATGAAATAATTCCTGGTACTCTCAAAGTCCGATGTGGGGTGTCATGATAGTGGGAAGTTTAGTACCACCATGGGAGTGGAGAGGAGAGTTGTGACCTCCTTATTAGGGATTCTCTTCCACGTGCTATTAGAGTTTGAAAATATTAGTGGTTCCTACGCGCTCCTCCATCACCTGCCTTACCATGCCATGTCACGCCCACCCCGCTCGTTGTGCTTCGTGAACGAGTTAAGCTGAACTCAGACCTATGTCATGTGTGCGCTTTATCTCGGTGGCGCTCCGGCGTGTGCAGGCGGCGGCGGTCCCTGTGCGCGGTCGGCGGCTCCGCCTCTGACCCGGACGGCACGAGGGATGGCAGCGGCCCGGCGTGGCCGGCGATCTGGATGTGGTGCTGCCGGCGGCTCGCTGATATGCCGGTACTCCAGGGTCTGCCTGGTGGTGCTGGTGGTGACGGCGGCCCGGGTACAAGAGTTGGATCCCTTCGAACTGATCTGGGTGAAAACTTGCCTTCGGCTCCTGCTAAGGCCGGCGGTGGCGGCGCTATCTGCGTCGTTCCCTTCTTGAAGGCATCGCCATGGAGAAGTTCAAGGCCACTCTCTGGTACCTCCGGGGGAAACCACAGATCGGATGATCAGATGACGGCGGAGCTCTGGTGTCGTTCCTCCCTTGGGGGCGTCATTCTTGGAGGTACACACGTGATCGAGGGACCAGAGGACGGATTCTTTGGTGGAGCGGTGCTTCATCCTACACACTGATGGCGACGGATCTTGACGGCGTGGCGCAGTGCAGATTCGGAGTTCGTTGTGGGAGGATGGACTCGCGCAGGAGGACGACGTTGTCGGGCGTTGTGGTGGCGTCGATGGCAGAGAGACCTGGCACGGTACATGTAACAGTATAGCTCTGAAGATGGATTGGTGGTAGGTGGCTGCGGTGGCCTCATACCTGGCAGGCGTCCTGGTTGAGGAGTGCGCCAGACTGGTAGGTTCCCCATACCCGACAGGCGTCCTGGTTGGGACCTCAGGTCTTAGATGTTTAGGTTTGGCTGCGATGTCTGTTTGGTATTAGGCCCAGACTATCTGCGCCCCTTCATCAATTGAATAGGTGTAGCGACAGTTGTTTCTTAGATGGTGGCTTTAACCTTGCTGTTGTATTGCTTTGTAAGGTCTTATGAGAATAATTAATAAAGTGGCCGTATGCATCGCCCAGATGCAGAGGCCGGGGGTCATCCTCCTTTTCTAAAAAAACAGACGTGCTATGAATCCAAGACATCGGTTCATGGGATGTTGCGGACTCGCTCATCGGCCCAGCCCCATGTCTCCCTACCCAACTGCATATATCTTGGAGGCAGTGGCAACCCTATCTGTCACCTGATATCGTGTCTCCTATGCCTCCTCATGCATCACCCACAGTCATTCCTCTCACTGTTGCTGATTCCGACAATCCCACCTTGTCCACCGCATGCACGATAGTACAAGAGAGCGAGCCTCCGAAACCCTATCGCTTGTGAACATCCATCACGAGAAGAACGATTAGGTTTTCGGGGAGTGCCTCGGTGTACTGCTCAATTGTTCGTCCTCGTCCTCTACTTCGACTACGTACTTGGGCTCTCCGACATTACCACGGTTGACGACACCACCAATAAGACTATTGCTGAGAACGTTGTTGTCGCCGTCGCGGTCTTATTATTACTGACTGGAGGGTGATCTGTTTATCCCTGTTTTACTGGCTTATGTGCTTGGATTATCAAGTATGTTCATACATACACATGCTCTATGTCTAGTACACACTCACATGTTTACATATGAATATGATAATAACAATATTTTTGCTATCATTATGATTTATTCATGGATTAAATCAATTATAAAATTGCTAATTTATCCAACAATCCAAAAACATAACTTTTGTAAGCAATTTTTTATTAAAGGCTTTGCTTCTACCTTGAAACCAAACCCCTTTACGAGTGTCCCCTTGAAGCATTCATAGACCAGAACTACCTTGTGTCTCAGAACGATGAATGTGTTCTAGGTTGCTGGTGACACTACTTATGGAATGATTACTCCTAGTCAGGAGAAGGCGTTTAAGGAGGCAGTTCCATAACTACAAAATGGTTGAGAACCGTTCGGTTTTGTACTAGACTCGTGAGATACATTGTATGCTAAGGAGCTCAAATCATGAAGTGTGATTTACCGAACAAGTTTCGCGAGATGCAAATTTCTTAAACTCCCTCCTTGAAGGAGCTTTGCTACTTCTCTGAAATAGTAGAGACGTGAATTCTTTGATGAGGCTGTCATCGCTCATATGAGTGTTGAAGAGAACTAAGGAGCAAAGGACTCGCATGGCAAAGCGGCCGAGGGACCTTCTAGCACCAAAGTGATGCAGAAAAACTTCCACAAGCTCAAGGAAAAGAAGATGGTCCAGCAAAATACCAACTTAAAAAAGAAGGCTAAAAATAACAAGAAAATGGTAAGAAGATGGTTGCTTAAATTACACAAGGGATGGTCATTGGGCATCCAACTACCCATAGATATTCAAGAAGCCAGGGAAAAACTCCAAGTCTGTCAATGTGACCATGAGCATCAACAATAATGAATCACTCGGGTACGGTAATTTATTTACCATGCTACCAGTTTGTCAGTCTACCGATTGGTGAGCTGATGTAGGTGCAAATATTCATGTTTGTTTTGATATTTTGTTCTTTTCTTCTTACCAGGTCGAATGAGATTGAACAGGGAACATCGTGTATGCTTTTGTTCATGGTGCTGGCATGGTAGATCAGAAGTTTACTTCGGGAAAGATCGTGCAACTGAAGAACGTCAAAAAGAATCTTGTTAGTGCCTCCCTTATATGTAAAGAAGGCTTTATTAAGTTAGTATCAAAGTCTAATAAAGTATTCATATCAAAATATGGACTTCTATTCAAAAATGGTATGACTGTGGAGGTTTGCTCTGCCTTTCCCACGCGAATTTTTATGATAAAAATCCTCAATCATATTCATCAATTCTTTGTCACTTCAACTCCGATTGTATGATGCGACTAGATAAACTTAATCTAATCCCTAGTTCACCTTAGCCAAAGGCTCTAAGGTGGCCTTTGTTGGGGCTTCAGCTAGAGATTCTCATATTCTAGCACATCCAAAATCCGAATATCAAACAAAGACTCAGATTTTCACATTAGCTATCAAGAATCGATTAGCCAAGTTCTCCCAGTTATTACCAAAAAAATGACACAGCACGCCCACCCCAGTTTCCTCCACGGATAGTTCTCCTCCACCTCGCTCTTTCTTCCCCAGCCAAATGCATGAGGAAGGTAGAATGGAGAGGCGATGGCTCTCTAGGGTTTCGGCCACCGCCACCTTCATCAGCCCGATCAGCACAACGACATGTGTCTCATGGCGGCTCGCCGCTCCACATACTCTGTCCACGAGCTTTGTTAAGCGCTCTCTCCGTAGCTCCACCTGAGATGTGTCGTCCATGATCTCTGCCGCTGCCCCTGGTCTCAGCAGCCGCAACTGCTCCTGATCTCCGCCAGCGGCACCACTGCCCC